CATCGGAGTGCCTCACAAGCAGGTAACTGCAGGCAATTCTTGCTCTCACACACAACTGTGAATGTATTTTTATTTTTTTCCATTTTTGTATTTTATTGTATATATTGTATATATTAGGGCCCCCGGTAGGCGGCTTCCCAGCCGAGGGAGGTGTGATCTCTGCTCTGCTCCGCTCCTTCGCGCGCCGCTTACTGATGCCGTGGGAGCTGGAATATGACGTCATATTCCGTCTCCCAGCATCAGTAGACAGCCTGCGAGGGAGCACATCACAGCTCTCTAGCCATCTCGGATGGGAAGCCGCCTGCATCACAGCAGCCCCACTGGACCCCAGGGACGGATCAATGCCAGCTGGTCTGATTGTGTGACTATCAGTGTGTCTGACAATGAGTGTCAGTGTTCATGTATCTGTCAATTAATGAGTGTCAGTGAATGTGTGTGTCAAATTGGTGAGTCTGTGTTTGTCACTGAGTGTATGTGTGTGACTGTAAGTGTATCTGCCAATGTGTGTCAAATCAGTGTATCTGACTGTCAGTGACGTCTATGTGTCTGTCATTGAATGTGTGTGTCAGTGTGCACTTAAAGGGACACTATAGGAGCCCAGGCCACTTCAGCTCAGTGAAGTGGTCTGGGTGCAGTGTCCCAATCTCTTTAACCCTGCAAGTGTCATTATTGCAATTTCTCAAAACTTGAGGGGTTAAAGCCACCTCTAGTGACTGTCTACCAGACAGCCACCAGATGGACTTTAGGGTGTTAAGGCAACCAAATGTCGTCTAACTGATGCTAGACGTCCTCACGCGTCTGCAAAATCCCCATAGGAAAGAACTGATGCAGTGATTTCTTATTAGGAAGCCTAATGCAAGCGCAGAGGAGGAGCTTGACCTAGCACAGAGGGGGTTTTAACTTTTATAGGGAACTATAGTGCCAGGAAAACAGCTTTGTTTCCCTTGCACTATAGTTTCCCTTTAAAAATAGTAGGAAAAGGTGTATTTAAAGAGGAAGAGGTGTGGCCTTGACAGGAAGGGGTGGGGCAAATTTAGATTAGGGGGGTACCCAGGTTTAGTCATGCCTAGGGCAGCGCAAAACTAAAATACACCACTGTGTGTGTGCGCACACACACACACTCCTGTTATTTAAATGTGCATAGAGATTTGGCATAGTGCACAAGGAACTTTTATTTTTTATTTTTTTTTTCTTCTTTGGTTAGAATCTCTGAAACTGCTACTTTTTATTTAATGTCTAATTACTTTTCGAGAGAGATAGATAGATAGATATATATTATACAACTGTAATGGATTTGATGCTCAAGTCTTTCAAGGTTTTTTGTTTTTTTTTGTCACATAAAAAGCACCGATTTGTAGAATTCTGTACAATAAGCCTTTCCACCTCATGCCAGAACGAGTTCCATATCAAAGGTATGCACTACAGCACTGAGTGAGATGCTTTCACAACCGGCTGTAGACCATCAGAGAAACTACAAACAGGTAGTGATATCCTTACTGTATGCCTCCTTGGGGGCGCCCTGCCTTTTCTAATGCAGCTTGCTTTGTAGTTCAGTTCATTCTGTAAGATCACTGGCAGATGAAAAGGAAGTCTGTTACTGTAGTGAGGGGGTGGGGCTTAAGGTGCAGCATTCTCAAAAAAAGTATTCATTTGATCGGTTTTAGCCCCCTTAAAATGCTGTAAAATTTGTTTTGGAAAATGCCTATAAGTCAGTACTTACCCATCTTCCAATCTGCCTTTAAAATGGAAAAGTCCAATTTAACCACATAAGATTCTGATTATTATTTAATCATTTTATACATATAGCCGATACAAATGCAGTTTTTTTTGTTTTGTTTTCAAAATTCATTACTGCATATTTGTAAAAAAAATATGTAATTTTTTAAAATTATTTATATTTGTCAGTTTATCTACAATAAGAAAAGAGTTAATTGTGCGCACTCTCCCAAATACACATGCATTTGGATTTGGGATAGTGCACAAGTTACTTTTCTACTTTATGTATTTCCATATTTTACTTTAAATCTGGTATAACTTCACACATGGATGTTTGTTGCAAAATCCACTAGATCTACTCATGGAATATCGGCACGGCTGAAGTAGTAATGTGAGTTTATAAAAACTTAAAATATTGGCTCATACAGTTTAAACTATAAAATATTATCTTCGCAGGTTCACGTCTGGTTTCAGAATCGAAGGAATAAATTAAGAAGGAAAAGTCTCACTGATCCGAGCTGCCTTGCAGAGCTAGAACAAGAACCAATCCGCACCCCAGTGTCCCGACTAACTCCGAGACCTATCCAACCTCTACCACCTATACAATCTCTACAACCTACTCAAGCAATACAACCTCTGCAGGGTGGGCCACCTATGCAAGGGCTGCAGGGTGGGCCACCTATGCAAGGGCTGCAGGGTGGGCCACCTATGCAAGGGCTGCAGGGCGGGCCTCCCATGCAAGGGCTGCAGGGCGGGCCTCCCATGCAAGGGCTGCAGGGCGGGCCTCCCATGCAAGGGCTGCAGGGCGGGCCTCCCATGCAAGGGCTGCAGGGCGGGGCTCCCATGCAAGGGCTGCAGGGCGGGCCTCCCATGCAAGGGCTGCAGGGCGGGCCACCCATGCAAGGGCTGCAGGGCGGGCCACCCATGCAAGGGCTGCAGGGCGGGCCACCCATGCAAGGGCTGCAGGGCGGGCCACCCATGCAAGGGCTGCAGGGCGGGCCACCCATGCAAGGGCTGCAGGGCGGGCCTCCCATGCAAGGGCTGCAGGGCGGGCCTCCCATGCAAGGGCTGCAGGGCGGGCCTCCCATGCAAGGGCTGCAGGGCGGGCCTCCCATGCAAGGGCTGCAGGGCGGGCCTCCCATGCAAGGGCTGCAGGGCGGGCCTCCCATGCAAGGGCTGCAGGGCGGGCCTCCCATGCAAGGGCTGCAGGGCGGGCCACCCATGCAAGGGCTGCAGGGCGGGCCACCCATGCAAGGGCTGCAGGGCGGGCCTCCCATGCAAGGGCTGCAGGGCGGGCCTCCCATGCAACCAGACATTGTATTACCCACTATTCGTGTTGTCTGGCCTATATTTTTTACACAAACCACATTCCAGGCCTCCACTTCTCAACAAGAACATAATGACTGTGAAGAGTAATCTACATACACTGGAGACTGCTGGATAATCTGGTGCCTGGAAAATTTTATATATATATTAGGTAGTTTTATTTGAGTGTGGAAATCTATTTTAGATAGTGATTATACTTTTGGAATGGGATGGGAAAATCATTAAATGGACTTTATAATTTTAGAGTTGTGCATATAGTTCTTATGACTTTGCTCTCTGTATCTCCTTAACCCAGTGTGTTACAATGTACAGTGTGTTCTGTCAAAAGAATAACTAAAAATCTGTTATCACTAGTGGTAAGTCGAAGGTGCACACGTGGTCTCAAAGAAGGGACATTGCATGCCTGTGACTGGCAGCTGTCATGGGGCATCCAGTTGTAACGGTACTTGTTGCAATTGTGCCTTCTGCTGAGGCTTCCTGTAACAGATTTAGCTTTCAGTTACTTTTCATAGAACTGCTGTCATCCACGCGGATCAATTCTACTCAGTGACTGACCCTGACCTTCAGTAGTGAGACATTCCAGTATAATGGTGAATACCCTGGTTGCTAATAACTGACTTGGTTCTCACTGTGATCAATTAGCCAGGAGAGCAATAAGCGGTGCCCAGTTGGGGTTAGACCGGGCTAATGTTTGTTTCCAGTGGTTAGTAATGGCATTAACGTTTGACACTGGTCTATATTGTGATGGCTTTTCATCCTCACATAGCTCCTCTGGGAAGTAGGAGGACACAACACATAGCTCCTTTGGGAAATAAAAGGCATGCCAAAACTGGGACACATCTGATATTTGAACCCATAAGCTCCCCAAAACCCTGGCAAAGGAATGCATCGGGTCAAGGCTTTGACCTAGAACACACAAAGTGTGTGAAATGTATCTGTACAAGGAGGTAAAAAATAAAATGTATAGCTAAACTCGATGGAACTGATATAACTTCTTAGTGATTCAAAAGGTTTCCTTTTAAATAGCCAACGTTGTATTTTGCAGATAGCATTACTTTTGGGCTGGCAAAGAGAAGTCTGGGGCTTCTGTTTTCACACAATAGTAGTGGTTGGTTAGTCCTTCTCTCAAACACATAATGGGTATAAATTGCTAAACCCTTAAATGGAATCTTGACTGCAACATTTTAGGTTAATAGGTCCAGGATGTGTCGCTATACAGTTTAGTTGATATCTTCCAAATCGTACTTTTGTGCCTAGATTTTGTAGTTTTGGTTTTCCATTTACTACTTTTCAGTGTATAGCATTTAAATCCCTAGTTGTGTTTCTTCTTGAGCTATATTCAACCTCTATATCCCCAGAAGGATGTACTTAAAGGGACACTCAAATGGATATTTAAAATAATATGGTAGACATGCCCTCCTCCCCAAATGAAAACAAGCATGCATTTTAATTAAATTTTTTAATATATATTTTATTTTTTTTATTTTTTTATTGTAGGTATCTAAAAGCTGCTTGCAATAGTCTGTAGCCTGTGCAAGCTCTCCCCTTATAATTTTTGCCCAGTCATTCAGTATCTGTCCAATCCCAGACTTCCCAATGAAGCACAATGAGGCGTCTTTGCAAGGCAGGTGCTCTGCGCAATTGCTTCCTCTTGTGTTTAGCTCCACTGAGCAAACCAAAACAGGAAGTAACAGGGCTGGTTATCTGACATCCAGGGGGTGTAACCAGGTTACTTTATAAATCCACAAGCTAAAGTTCTTTAGGTATTTGGAGTGTTTTTATGGAATCCCCAGATTAAAATATTTTTTTCAATTCTGGCAGATCTAGGGTCAGCATAAGTAATTTGTTGTAACTTTAACAATAAAATTTTAATATGTAACCATATATACAAACTTTTACATGAGAATAACTTATTAGTACATGCTATAACATCAATAAACTTTTGTAAACATTGTCCATTAGTACTGGCTGTATCTCACTCCACCTCCTTCATTGAGCATTGGTCGAAGGTACATCGAGGGCAGGGGGCAGGGCCTGAAGTTAGTGGGGGGCAGTATGTTGGTTGGGGGGTGATGTCCTGGTAGGCCTGCTCTAATGGCTGCGTGCATTGGACTGTAAGGTAGAGTTGCCGGTTGTGGTGGGAGAGGTGCAAGAGGTACAGGCATTGCAACATCTGGCTGTAGAGAGCAGCTTTGGGTTTGTATGTCTGGATAGCCGTAGTACGGAAAGTAAAGTCTGGAAAAAATGGCGTCCACTCGGGCATCTTGTTTTTGTCGCTTATATTTCATCCTCCGGTTCTGAAACCATGTTTTAATCTGAAAGCACAATAAATATTTTATTAGCATTTTGTTCATGTTAAAGTTGTTACACTGACCGCCACTAGAGGTGCTTCTGCAAGCACATCAGGTGCACAAGGCTCCTCTAGGAGGAACTTTGGATTGGACCATTGCCGCCTTGATGACGCTGCTGGATTAGGAGAGGTGAGCAGTGCCGAGGGAGTCTCGGCACTGTGAAAACGTAAGTTTAAAATAAATACAAGTTTTATGTCAAACGGGAGAATGGGGTGTCAATCAAACTAGATAGGGACAGAGAAACTATAGCTTTTTGAATACAGGTTTGTGTTCTTAATGCGTTTGCAGATAGCATCTTTTACCCCTTAAGGACCAAACTTCTGGAATAAAAGGGAATCATGACATGTCACACGTCATGTGTCCTTAAGGGGTTAAGGGCTAACCACTGTGAAGTTACGTTGCCAATTCCTTGTTAACTTTTCTGTGATTAAAACTGTTATACTGTTTAATTGTTCCTGTGCAGCATCATGCATGATCATCATGCTTAATGATACAAATATGTATCATTACATGTCTGACAATATATTGAGATGACCAATCAGCATCTACTCATAGAGATGAATTGAATCAATGCATCTCTATGGGGAACATTCAGCGTCTCAATGCAGAGCACTGTGCAACAATGGACTAGGAAACACTTTTTTAGAGGCCATCTGCATGAATTCTGCAAGAGCTGTTCCTAGGCAGTAATAGAAACACTGCCTTTTCTCTGAGTGGCTGTGGTAGCTGTCCTAGTTTTGGTGATTATAGTGTCCTTTTTAGGACCCTGATTTAAGGATGGGGGAATAGGAGCTAATTAAAGTAATGTACATTTTTTTTTTTTTACTAAATTCAAATTGTAGCAAATGAAAAGGATACTTCAGGCACCCAGACCACTTCTGCCCATTGGAGTGGTCTGGGTTCCAACTCCCACTACTCTTAACCCTGCCATTGTAATTATTGCAGTTTTTTCTAAACTGCAATATTTACCTTGCAGGGTTAACTCCTCCTCTAGTGGCTGTCTACTAGACAGCTACTAGACAGCCACTAGAGGACACATCCGTGTTCATAGAACACGATAAGTGGTTTAAAGCAACGCTGGACGTGCTCACACTATGTGTGGACCTCTAGCATCGGTGAAATCCATTACTGAAATTATTCAATGCTTTCCTATGGGGGAGGTCTAATGCGTGTGCGCAGCCATTGCCGCACATGCGCATTAGGTCTCTACCGATGGCCGAGCATGTGCAGTAGGTCTCCCCCGCCAGCTGATGTTGGCGGGGGAGGAGCATAGGCGGAGCCTGACCCATCGCCGAGGAACATCGGCGCTGGACTCCGGTAAGTCACTGAAGGGGTTTTAACCCCTTCAGCAACTTGGGATGAGATGTAGGAGGTAGAGGGGCACTAGAGGGTCCTGCAGTGCCAGGAAATCTGTTTTCCTGGCACTGTAGAATCCCTTTCACCTTGAAATGGCTAAATTAAAGCTAAAACATCTTTTTGGACAAATTACCCTACTCTCAACTTGGCTATTTTTAGCCTGAATTTTAACTTGTTACAATTCAGAGTTAATTTATTAACATTATGTGATTATAAGAAACTGGAATATCTATCATAACTTTCTTTGTAGTCCACCTAGACAAAATGTGAAGAATATTGATATTACGCAATCATATTGCTCCAGCTCAGGACATCTCATTCTCAAGCAAATAAAAAATCGAGACCAGCTCTACACCTACCTGTGTCTCTGACAGTTTCAGGACCCTGGACAGCCGCTTCTTCTCACTGGCTCCAATGTATCGATTTTCCAAGAAGCTCTTTTCTAGCTCCTGAAGTTGCTCCTCTGTAAACTTTGTTCGAGGTCTGGAGGAAGATGCATCATCCTCTGATGCTGTGGACTCTGTGCTTTTTAAACTGTCAACATCCGAGCAGACATCATCATCCTTTAAAGGGCTGGATCTGGTGGCAGACACTTCCCTTAACGCAGGGAGTTCTGTAAAACAATTCAGACCAAACAAATGAAACAACTTATCAATGACCATTGAGGTGCTGATGACCAATCTATACATTTACTAAATTCTGAATTATAGTGAATTCAAAAACATATATTGCAAATTTTAGACTAACAGTTGGAGAAGTTGTTTAATCTAAATTTTGCAATTTGAATTTTAGTTTGATACAATTTGGAGTTTAATGAATAACCTTATAGATGAAACAATTTAGTAACATTCTTTAACTTGGCTATAGTCACAGGATATCACGCTAAATATTTTATTTCAGCCTGATAGGCTGTGACTATAGACAAGTTACAAAATGTTTCCATATTTACTATTTCTGCCTAAATTGATCAATTTCGGTTTTCTCTACATTTAAGTTTAGTGAACAAACATATCTTTTAAGTGAAGCACAAGATAATCAGTTTACCTGCCCCTCCTCCATAACCCCCCCAAAAAAACGAAATCACCATTTAATATACAAAAATTTAGAGCCATAACTGTGTAAGAAGAAATGGCGTCAGTAATGGTTGTAATGACAACCATTGGAATCCACTATAAAACTGCCATTCTAGAACCTTACTGCTTGCAAATGGGTAATGTAAACACGTTGTTTAAAATATTAAAACATTGTATTAAATTATGAAAACTAGCGCCTTTTTCCTACATTTCGCAATATGATTTTCAATTCAATACACTTTAATATTTACTTTTAATGCAGTGTTAATTTGTGATAGTGATGTCCCCGAACGGTTCACCGCGGGCTCCAGTCAGCAGACACATTCCAGCCAATCAGCAACAGACCCTCCCTCCCAGACCCTCCCACCTCCTGGACAGCATCCATTGTGAAGCTGCATTCTTAGTGAGATGTCCAGGAGGTGGAAGAGTCTGGGAGGGAGGGTCTGCTGCTGATTGGCTGAAATGTGTCTGCTGACTGGAGTCCGTGGCGAACCGTTCGGGACATCACTAATTTGTGACAGTTCACACAATAGCGAATAACTGTATGAATTCATAACACATCCTGGGTGCTGACATCTGACCAGAAACATTTAGTTAGCAAAATGTAGGCTAAAACAGACAAGTCTTGATTAGACCAGATAATTATCTTTTTCCTCAATCCATTATATTAGCCTTACATCCACCATTCAATTTCAGTTTGCTACAATTCAGTGAATAATCCTGACCAATTTATTTACTAAAGTGTCAAAAGTCTGAAACTCAACTTGAACTTCTAATTATAGGCCAAGTAGCTTAAAAATCAGCTATGGCTTTAATTTCACTGTTTTGCCCTAAATTTTGAAATTCACTTTGAATTCGTGACAATTTGATTTTAGTGATGAGAGAGTTTTGAAGAAAAAAATTGCTAGTTTTCCAACTAGCTTTAGAATTTTTTCCCCTTTTCCATATATATATATATATTCCTTTTTTTTTTAAATAAGATCACTTCTTTACTTATGCAATACATTTTTGTCCCACAGATGTCCCTATTTCCAATATATTGGTTCTAAACACAATCTAATCTGCTGTTTGACATCTCCAGATTAGGGCATTGTACAGAATCATTTTAGTTTGTGTTTCATTCATTCTACAGATTCTAACAGATACTGTACAGTTCAGCTCCACCTTTAACCATATCCATACTGGAGGGACTGATCAACTCATTTCTACTACTCCTAGAGGGGTTTATACACTAAACAGTAAAGTAAAAACTGAGTTGCACACCTTTCTATAAAAAAAATATCTAAATTGGATATTTTTTGCAACAAAATCAGTTTCCACTTCTGTAGAGTTCACTGTTTAATAAATACATTGTAAAAAGTTACTAAAATACAAAAGATATTATTTTCATGGAAATTTAGAAAGTCTAAAATCATGTATTTACAGTTAACCAAACAAAAAGTAAAAATACTAATATATATATAATATAGAAACGTTGCAACAGGGCTATGCATTTAGTCAAACATTGTTATATAAATTATTTACCGTGTGTGTGTGTGTGCGTGTGTGTATATAAATATATAAATAAAACACACCCTAGACATTCATCAGTCATAAAACAAAGTTTGACTAAATATACAGCCTTTATATCTCTCCATGAGTTCTGTGAAATGCTGTCTGTCTTAAGTCCATTTTAGCTACACAGACAAATATGCCCCCCTAGGTGTATACATTGATTTACTGTAGCCATAGGTGCAGGCATGAAAAAAATTGTTTTGTTTTTTTTCTGAAATAAAAATAATAGCAACAATAAATAAATACCTTGTGATATCTGCTTAAGTGACAGCGGTGCGGCAGCCCTGTCGTCAACAAGCAGTTTCTTGACACCATAGTTGTCCTTTCTTCTGTAACCAATGTTGGGTATATAGTTCTGCCCACCCGTAGACATAGCAACATTGTCTCTGTCCTTGAACTGGGAACCAGGGGCCAGTTTGTGTTGTTTAAAAGCCACATTAGGGTGAGTGCAGCTTTTCTTACTGCTCTCAGATAGCCACTCCACAGTGTATGTCCTCTTCTCCATTTCAGAGCTTGGATGAAGTCCTCTTTCTTCCTACTAAATTGGCCAAACTAACCTCTCACAGACACTTACAGGCATATATAAAGCCTGGAGCCTCTATGGGTTTAATGAGCCTTCTTCACTTGTGATTATAACTGCTACAATGGTTTTATTGGGTGTTACTGTAATCTGCATTTTAGGAGACTGTCATATCCGTCTAATCCCTCAATCCAGGACCACTTCTATGTCCAATGTGGCGCCAAGTTCATGTTTTACCCAGTAATTAAATCAAAACCATAACGATTGCATTGTCTCATTATTAAAGAAATTCACTGTTTAACAGGATAAGATTTATATCATTTTGTAGAGTACAAGATAAAAATGCTTTATTTTGAAAGAGATTAAAAACAGATAAATTAGGTTAATACCTTGTAAACCATTTTATTCCAAAACAAAGGATTTTGTTGACAGTCATTTGATAAGAAAATGATAGTATTAAATACATTTTCTGTATTTCTGATTTGATAGTGAATTGAGAGAAAATCGAATGCCTTTGGTTTTGTGCAATGGGTCTCTGCAAGCAAGCCAATAAGGAAATGTATAATAAAATGTATTAATATTTAGGAGGGGTGGGGGGGAAACACTTTTTATGACGTCGCAAAATATTTTTTTTCTCAGAGGGCAATTTATAGCTTTAAACCCTCAGGTTAGGAAACGACCATAAGTTGTGACAAAGAACTACAAACAACATTTAAATCAAAGTCTATTTCACATAAAGAAAAACACAGAGAGACAGTTTTATCTGATGTCTGCTCCACACAGCATTTTTTTGTTGTTGTTGCTGTTTGGGAAGAAACATGTTAATTTGTTTTATTAAGGAAAGAGGGACATAGGAAATGAGGGGATTGGCGTGGTGGAATAAAAGCCAAAATGTTTCCATTGCATTTCAAAGTACGTGACCTGATGTTTTTATGAACTACATCAAAAGGTTAATTGTAACTTTGGCAAGAGGTAGTGTATGTGAGTAAGGTATGTTCAGATCCAAGTACCATCCTTCCTCTTGCAAGGACACAGTTTTGTTACCAAAGCCTCAATTCAAAGTGAAACTGCTTTTAATTTATTTATTTATTTATATTTTGTATTTGCATTTTTGTTTTTTTTTTGGAAGGGGGGACATATTTCATGCTGCTATGGTAAGCTTTAACTAATTCTATACACTGTCTTTATGTAATAACCATTGTGCAAGGGGTTAACTCAGTCCATTGTCTCACCTTACTCACTGACACCCCCACAGAAGCAAACACCTCATTTAGCAGGCTGTCTCCAAAAATACAGTCTCCACTTAAATCATATGTATAGCCTCATGATAAAGAACAAACTGTCTTTCGACAATTGGCTCATGTAAACAGATTGCTAAAAACAAATAATCCAAAATGGAAATCCATTGTCTTCAAAGAAACCTATTCTCTGTTTAGACCTTAATTTCAGTTATATTGTGACATTCCCCTTTTTAAATCATTGTATTCTCAGAATTAACTGATAATTAAACCACACTTGAACATAATGCCATGCATCACAGTGTGGGACTTATTCACTAAACAGTGAATTGTAGTGAGTTCTACAGCTGGGTTTAAAATGCCTAGGTAATACTGTGATAAAAATACAAGATTGCTGTTTCAATTTGCTACAGTGCAGAGTTTAGTGAAGAATGTGACATCTTTATTACATTATTTGTTTTTTTAATTTAATTTTACTTCAATTCACTATTTAATTTTTCAACGTAACAAATATTACAAATCAAAGTTAAGTGAAAAAAAACCCACATACAATGTAATTCAACTTGTTCCAAATTGCCACTTTTTGACCTTTAGATTTTAATTGTGAGCTGGAATAGTCAAATGGTGCAATTCTCCATGTCAACTTAAAATGTAAAATGCTTTGAAATGACTTTTTCCAAATAAAAACTTTATATCTAACTTTTTTAATTTACTACAATTTGGTGTTTATTGAAGAAAAAACAACTGCTATTGTTTATTTATGGTGATTGACTTAAATGTAGCACTTTGCACAGCATCGCTCCAGTTTCATATTGATAATTCAGTTTCATAGAAAGTTATTCAATAATGTGTTTATAGTTCGAAATTTCTCAGGGAAACTTTCCCAAAATACTCCAACTTTTTGTCCGACATGGCTATTTTGGCGTTAAATATTACATTTTATGTTTCTTGTTAAATGCCTGACAATTCACAGTTAAGGAATATATTACCCGACCATTCTCTCATTTGGGGTGATAAGATTCAAAGGTGGACATTTTTAGACTAAAAGGGGGCAGAAGAAATTATTTTGCAAAACGTTCCTGCTAATGGGGAAGATACAAGATACATAATACATTTATATATTTGGTTGATTAAATACTTCCGACCTGTTCAATGCTAAATTTTGTATATATTGTGTATCAATATTGTTTTTGTATCTTATTGTACCCTAATGTAACAATGCAATGTTTTGTGGACCCAGGACATACTTGAAACCGAGAGAAATCTCAATGTATCTTTCCTGGTAAAATATTTTATAAATAAATTATATGTATAAATCATGACCTAATACATTTGAGATCTGGTCTCCCTATATCCAAAAACACACGATCTTCAGACCCATCATGTTTTCCAGGGCAAATAGCTTTTAACTTTTTCATTTTGACAAGCAGCCAGTGAAAAGTACTGCATATTTATCCAAAGGTTAATGACATAATCATACCCCTTTTTGAATATATATATTTCCCACCCTTAAGGTGTATTCCTAGCCTATAGTGTCCCCCTTGCTTGAGTGCCCAGCCCCCAACAGCGCACATCAGAGACCTAATGCGTATGCACGCCAATCACCGCGATTACACTAAGACAAACTCAAAGGAAAGCTTTGACTCACTGCTTACCTATGGGGTTTTAGCTGACGCAGGATGTCCTCATGCATAGCGTGAGGACTTCCAGCATCAGTTAGGTGACCAAAAGTCACCTAGCCACCGAGAAGTGGTAGACAGCCACTACAGGTGAAGTTAACCCTGCAATGTCATTATTTCAGTTTATCAATAACTGCAATAATTACCATTGTAAGGTTAAACTAACAGGGGCACCAATGGGCTGAAGTGGTCTGGGGGCCTGTAGTGTCCATCTAAACTGCACAGGGTGCCAAAGTTAAAATTCCAGGTTCTTTAAGGAGCTTAACAATTATATTCCTGATAAAATGCACTTATGTTAGAAACAAACAGAAGGAACTAAAAACTGAAAAGAAATATATTTTGCTATATATTTACTAGTTTTCCATTTTTTTTTTTGCCAACAAAAATCATGGGCAATGGAAAAAATATAAAAAATTAAAATAATTCAAAGGGGGATTCTGGAACCCTCTGATTTATTATCACAACACTAACCATAGGTAAGAAATTGCTAGGCCTTTTCACCGTGGCCTGTCTGCAGTCAAGATAAGTAGATTTTCATTTAAATTATGTATTTACCATTTTAATTTATTAACTTCTGGTATTTTTTTTTAAATTTAGTATAAACTTTGAATTATTCAGAACTTTAATCCTGAACTTATTAACCCTATCTTGAACCTATGTCTTGAGCATTGTGGGACAATGCAAGTCATTTTGAGGTGCTTCAATTTATTCAGTATGGGGTTAATGTAGCACTGTCACTACCCCCTCTGAAAAATTAGTATTGTGTAAAGAGAGAATCTTTGTGAAATACTCATATTGACTCTGTTGGAATTTCAATGAAATCACTGAATATCATGAGATATACTGAGAAAAAGTAGGAACTGCTTTGTCTCAGCATATTTTCTACGCCTGACACTTATGGACACTGGGCTGGAGCTACTGCTGTCTAGAAGTGTCAGTCCCCCAGCCGTCATCAGTGACAGCAACAGCAAAGTGACTTTATCTAAGGAGAATTCCTAAATGCGTTACTCTAGCTCATGTGCGAGAGTACAGCAGTGACATCAGCTTCTGGTGCTGAAGCACCATGAGCCAAAGAGGATCTGCCAGGAGAAGATGGTATAGCCCGTAAGGTAGAGGTTCGGGTAAGTAGAGCTCCCCTTTGCCTGGCCCCGGCGGCAACGATGTCACCATCGGGGGTGTTTGCAACTCCTGCAAAGTTTTTAGACACTGATAGTGCCCCATTAATCAAGTCATAGAGCAGATGACCTTCTGTAAGTTGGAGGATGGTTGAAGATTTCTCTAATATCCTCTAAATTGCTACAATCGGAATTCACACCAACTTAGTGAATCATTTCATGTGTACTTTTATCATGTTTTTTGTATTTTTTTTGTATTTCAGATAGATACAATACTTCTTCTTTTCTTAACTATATGGGTTTAACCTTTAATTCATCGTATGTTCCCCTGTTTCTTCCCTCCCACCCCATACCCCATCCAAATCCTAATTATCCCAATAATAACCCTTTTAGTCTCACTTTCTTATCTGACTTTTCCCTATCTTTATTTGGAGAGAGAAAGCCCTTTTGTGTCTTTGATTGAACTACTATAGTCATCAATTTTATTTTTATACTACCGTTTGACCCATCCATTTCCTCTTTATTTAATTGCTTTTTTTTGTTGGACATGGAAGGTGGGTGTATGGAAAAATCCCTCGCCACCTCATAACATAACATAACATACTATTCATCTCCCTGTCCCCCTCCTTGTTTCATTCCATTTACCTGGATCAGCGACCCTCTATGATAATTTTATTTAAAAAATTCCAATTTATCTATCCAAGTATCCCAATATTCTATTTGCATGTTGCAATTTTCTAAGCTCACTAAGATGCCTCTTTCGATTTTTGCTTGCCATATTACTTGTGCTATCACTTCTCGGGTGGATAGGATTTGTACATTTTTCCAATTCCGTGCTATCAGTAATTTAGCTGCTGTAATGATGTGTAAAATTAACACTGAATCCTTTATCTTAATTTTTGACTCAATTAAATGTAGTAAAATTATTTACGGATCCATTGTTAATTTATTTC